GGCAGTAAAGCAGGTAATAGAAGGTGCAAAGAAAAGGCTCAGGGAGTCGTGATTAAAAAGAGATAGGAAATGTGGGACCGATGTTTCAAAGTCCCTGAGAGAAATACACAGGAGAGACAGTACATGTTACTAGGACTTCCACGGAGAAATAACAATGAAAGGTAAAAATTTCATACTCGATTTCTCAGCCTTTGTAGAAAACAGAGCATGGACACGTGCTTTAGGTTCAACTAACCAGACACACAAATGTAGAAACAAAACCTGAGGACACAAAGAAACTGGCACTGCAGAGTATCCAGAGAAACTGGCACAAAAAGCATAGATGGGGACAACTCCTCAGGAGGTGGTAGAATTTTAAACAACACAGTCTCCAGAGACAGCACTGGCAGTTGTGTGGTGGAGGCATCCTAAAGTTCAGGGTCAGTGGGTGAAGTGACCTGTTGGTCCAGGCTTCAGCAGTAATGACATTGGGGTCTGCGATGAGCTGTTCTCTGGAGTGATTTTGATCATGGCAATGTGTCCCCAGCTTCCTTTTGTTTCCCCATGTTCTCTTCCAAGTGTGGTCCTTCATCCCTGCTATTAATTTTGAGACTTACCCAAAATCCTCTTGTCAAATAAATTTCTATTTAAGTCAGCCCCAGTCAGTTCCTATTCATTGCAATGAAGAACTCTAATTCCATTTTTAGTTTTTTAAGGAAACTCCATACTGTTCTCCATAGTGGCTGCACCAGTTTACATCCCACCAATGCAGGAAGTTTCCCTTTTCTCCACACCCTCTCCAGCATTTACTGTTTGTAGACTTTTTGATGATGACCATCCTGACCAGTGTGAGGTGATACCTCATTGTAGTTTTGATTTGCATTTCTCTAATAATTAGGGATGTTGGGCGTCTTCATGTGCCTGTTGGCCATCTGTATGTCTTTGGAGAAATGTCTATTTAGGTCTTCTGCCCATATTTTGATTGGTTGGTTGTTTGTTTTGATATTTAGCTGTATGAGCTGTTTGTATATTTTGGATATTAAGCCCTTGTAGGATGCATCATTTGCAAATATTTTCTCCCATTCCGTAGGTTGCCTTTTCAGTTTGTTCATGGTTTCCTTTGCTGTGCAAGAGCTGTAAGTTCGAGTAAGCCCCATTTGTTTATTTTTGCTTTTATTTCTTTTGTCTTGAGAGACTGATCTAAGAAAACATTGTTATGATTATGTCAGAGCAGTTTTTGCCTATGTTCTCTTCTAGAAGTTTTATGGTTTCATGTCTTATATTTAAGTCTTTCAGTCATTCTGAGTTCATTTTTGTATGATACAGCAATCCCACTCCTGGGCATATATCTGGAAAAGACGAAAACTCTAATTTGAAAAGATGCATGCACCTCAATGTTCATAGCAGCACTATGTACAATAGCCAAGACATGGAAGCAACCTAAGTGTCCATCAACAGATGAATGGATAAAGAAGAGTTATACAATGGAATATAACTCAGCCATCAAAAGGAATGAAATAATGTCATTTGCAGCAACATGGATGGACCTAGAGATTATCATACTAAGTGAAGTAAGTCAGACAGAGAAAGACAAATATCATATAATGTCACTTATATGTGGAATCTAAAAAAAGATACAAATGAATTTATTTATAAACCAGAAATAGACTCATAGACATAGAAAACAAACTTACGGTTATCAAAGGGGAGGAAGGGGAGGAATAAATGAGGAGCTTGGGATAACAGATACTACTATATGCAAAATAGATAAACAACAAGGTCCTGCTGTATAGCACAGGGAACTATATTTAATACCTTGAAATAACCTATAATAGAAAAGAATCTGAAAAGTAATTTATATATATACATATATATATAACTGACTCACTTTGCTGTACAGCAGAAACTAACACAACATTGTAAATCAACTATACTTCAAAAGAAAAAAACTCTAACTTATAAAGCTGTAAAACTTCATTTCGGGACTTCCCTGGTGGTGCAGCAGTTGGGAGTCTGCCTGCCAATGCAGGGGACACAGGTTCAATCCCTGGTCCGGGAAGATCCCACATGCCACGGAGCAGCTAAACCCGTGTGCCACAACTACTGAGCCTGTCCTCTAGAGCCCGTGAGCCATAACTACTGAGCCTGTGCTCTAGAGCTCGTGCTCTGCAACAAGAGAAGCCACCACAATGAGAAGCCCACACACCAAAACGAAGAGTAGCCCACACCTGCCGCAACTAGAGAAAAGCCCGTGCGCAGCAATGAAGACCCAACACAGCCAAAATTAATAAAATTTAAAAAACACAAAAACTTCATTTCAATACTTTTCATTCAGTAAGCCTTTAATAAGCACGTATATTGTGTACGATATTGTGCTGGAAACCAGGAGGGCAAAGTCCCCATCATCCAGGTACTTAGAGTCTAGTGGAGGAACACAAAACTTAAGTAAATTTAAAAATAATTGTATGGCACAAGTTATTAGAGGTGTTGCATTATATTAAGTGCTATGGAATTTTCATGACATATCAATTAATTCTGCCCAAGGCCAGATGGGGAGCTATGTGAAGGTACAGTGAGGAAGTGATATTTGAGTGGAGCCAGAAGGACAAATAGGATTTCACCAGTTTCACAGGAGCACACATTCCTGGAAGAGTGAGTTGTATGAGCCAATGTATGGGAACTTAAAAGTTTGGGATGTGTTTGTGGCCCAAAAAATACAGGTGGCTTGAGTGTTGTAATCACAAACAAGTACCTAGAAATAAAACTACAGTGATACTCTTAGATCTGATTATGAAGGTATGTGTACACCATACTAAAAAGTTATTTTTTTCAATAACTGCCATCATGGTTCTTAAAGCAAAAAAGTGATAGGACCAAATCTGTTTTAGAGAAATAGTGCTGGTGTCAGTGCAAAGGTAGTAAGAACAGTGTCAAGGCAACACCGACACAGAATACATTTGAAAGTTTGGCTGCAGAAGTTTTTGCCTACATTCCAAGTGAGAGGTGTACACAACTCGAAATGAAAACTGAGGAGGCAGTAGTAGAATTTGAAAATTACTGCCAACTTAGCTGGTAACTAACGATGAGATGTGAGGTAGCCTTATGTCCTCAGAGAGACTTCTGTAGCCTTGGATTACTCATCATAAACAGAATACTAATGACATGATAAAATGGTAATGATCCCTATGTTGCAGGGTAGTTATGCAGATAACAGTAGTGTATTAAAAGGATCCAGCATTGAGCCTGATTCTCAATAAATTTGGACACTAAATAATAGAAGCTATTGTTTTGAATACAGGGAAGAATGTAGAGGACTGAGCATTCTATTTTATTCTATGATTCACCAGACATGGCTTTAATAAATGCCATATTATACTTTGATGAAGTCACAGTGACCAAAATGATGTGACTTCCACTTATTTCAGAAGCCAAAGACCAGGAGAGCTTTAATAACTAACCAAAGGGGAAGAGGGGGAAATCGAAGTGGCCCTCCTTTCAACTGCTACTTGGAAGGTAAGAATGTCCACGTTTTACACTTCAGCATGGTTCTTCTGTGGTTATATAAAAATGCTTTCCCACACGCCGCGGAGCAACCAAGCCTGTGCGCTGCAACTACTGAGCCTGCGCTCTAGAGCCTTTGAGCCACAACTACTGAGCCCACATGCCACAACTACTGAAGCCCACGCACCTAGAGCCCATGCTCCGCAGCAAAGAGAAGCCACCACAATGAGAAGCCCACGCACCGCAACGAAGTGTAGCCCCCACTTGCCACAACTAGAGAGAGCCACGTGAAGAAACGAAGACCCAACGCAGCCAAAAACAAACAAATAAATAAATAAATTTATTTTAAAAAATGCTTTGTTATATAAAAATGCTTTACTCTTTTACATGCATGTATTTGCTCTCCCATTAAATTAAAATATTTAGGTCAGAGCCTGTCTCTGATACTTTCAGTGTCTACTATATTAAGGAGTTCAATATACATAAATATCTTTTACATTTTTAATAAAAGAAAACCTTTATCTTCAATAAAAATTGTTATATATAAATATTACATATACACATATGTAAATATATACATATATAAAACCTAGGTCTCTGATGAGGCTTACCTGAATATTTATTTTAACTGTTGTAAAATACTGATTTGAACTGTTGAAAAGTATTGATTTCAAGCCCTTAACTTAGTATTTATAGTTAGCCTTATAAAAGAATGATAGATGAACATTAAAAAATATACAAATTGCTTTAAATATATTTAAATTTTACAATAATTTCCCGGTCTTCATCCTACTATATCATCCTAATTTTCAAATTATTTTGTTTCCTTTTTTTTTTACAATTGCAAATTCAGAGAAGCACAAATGAACCCAGAAAAGTAGGCCATAATTACCTTACCTTAATAACCGCTGTTGACATATTAAGTAACCCACGGGGAAGATTAGAAAATTCAGTCCGTTTGGAAAGGTACAAAATGAAAATTGGAAGCCTCTCTTCCAAAGGAATGCCATCCTGAAAAAAAAAAAAAGAAGCCTAAATTTACACGGGCCTCTATTTCACACACACACCACACACACACATCACACCAGTGATCACACTATACACACTGTAACTCGCCTTGCTTTTTCACATACTATATTTTGGAATTCTTTCCACATCTGCATTTAAATCTCCTTCATAGCAGGAAACAGTTACAAAGTATTCTAAAGTGAATTTAACTAGAGTTAGCTTTTACTGAACACAGTTGCCCAGGCACAGGCCTCAGTGTACTTTACTTAAGTCTAGCTCAGACTTTCACAGATTCAGGACCCCGAAGTGCCTTTAATCCCATAAACCGTAATCCCCAAACTCCAAACCTGATTTGAATTTCAGTCCACTTTGCAAAATCTCGCGTTACTCTCCTCTCACTCGCCGGGTCTTGCTCCGCCTCCCCCAACTTCTCTACCCTCCCAGCAGCTGTTACCACTCCTAGTAGCCTGGCGGCACAGGAATGGGCCAAGCAGAGCCTTCCGAGGGCGCATGCGCGGCAGATGCGCGCCTGCGCGCTACGGGGCTGCCGGCGCGTCAGTGCTCTGGGCTAAGGTGGCTGGGGCCGAGTTGCGGGGCGGGACGCGCGGCGCTATGGCCGAAGGCAGCGGGGAAGTAGTAGCAGTGCCCGCCACCGGGGCTGCCAACGGCCTCAACAATGGGGCCGGCGGGCCCTCGGCGCAGACTAACAACCCGCTATCGCGGAAGCTGCGTAAGATCCTGGACACACGGCTGGACAACGACAAGGTGAGCGGGACTGGCGGGGTCGAGGGTGCTGCGTCGTCCGTGGGTCGGACCCGGGCTGGGGGCGGTGTCTGTCCGGCGCCCTCGGGCTCGTCCCTTGTCCCCGCCGCAGAGGGGACCCCAGGCCCGCGGGACCCGCTGCGCTGCCGGCGTGGGGCAGGTGAGAAAGGGGAGGCCGAGGAGCCCCTGGAAAAGCAAAGAGGTTTCCTGGGTGTTGCCCCATATTTAATTAAAACTGTTCTTCGAAGACTCTGGATCGGGAAGGCAAACGGTGAAGTCCCCTGCCCCCGCAGGTGTCGGGGGTCTGAGCAGGGAGGGGAGAGGAGAGCCCCGGGCAGGAGAAGAAAAATGCAAAAGAGCAAATAAGGCAGCGCGAATGGGGAGCTTAGGGGGAACAGGAGGTCAAGGCTAAGCATCCTTGAGCCTTTCCATTGACAGGTGAAAACAATTAAAATAATTTGCAGCGCGAAAGGGCTACCACCTGCTCATGGCTACTAGTTTTTGTTGTGAGCTAAGCACTGTCTGTGATGTATGGGCTCATGCTGTATTTCTTTACAAGATAGTTTATCTTGTAACCTATCTTGTATTTCTTTACAGGATAGTTTATCCTCTCCCAAGTACCTCCTGAAACTTAGATTGGACTTTCCGTCTCCCGTGGTAGCAGATTATCTCTTCTGTATCACTGAGTCGCTAGGTATATTGGTCATGCCTTGGTGGCATAAAGAAAAAAGAGTGTGTATAAGTGAGAGTTTTATAGATAAGTTTCTATCTAAAATTTTTAGATAAATTTCATAGATAAATTTTTATTTTTTATACATATTTTAGACTATGTTTAAGTGAGAGTTTTACAGATACATTTTTATAGATAAAAATAGAATTTTTAATCTATAGATTAAAAATAGAAATTTTAATCTATAGATATAGAATTTTTATCTATAAAAATTTTATTTTTATAGATAAATTTTTAGGTAACTGACAGCAAGCTGTCAATAAGAATTGGTGTGTAAAAAATAGCATTATACTATAATGAGTAAGAAAGATTGGCTCTGGGGCCACCACTTATTAGATATAACCACCAAATTGGTGCATTATGGTTTCAATAAGTCCCTTCTGTGAGCTTATGTTAAGTTTCTAAATTGAGAATACTGCCAGTAACCTCCTCAGGTTTGTTGTGCGGGTTCAGTGAGAGAATCCAGATGAAATACTCAGCACAGTGCCGCAGCAGTTATGTCTTGTTAAATGTTAATTCTTTTTTTAAAAAATTTATTTATTTTTGGCTGCATTGGGTCTTCGTTGCTGCGCGCTGGCTTTCTCTAGTTGCGGCAAGCGGGGGCTGCTCTTCGTTGCAGTGCGCGGGCTTCTCATTGCGGTGGCTTCTCTTGTTGCGGAGCACGTGCTCTAGGCGTGCGGGCTTCAGTAGTTGTGGCGCACGGGCTCGGTAGTTGTGGCTCGCGGGCTCTAGAGCACAGGCTTAGTAGTTGTGGCGCACAGACTCAATTGCTCCGTGGCATGTGGGATCTTCCCGGGCCAGGGTTCAAACCCATGTCCCCTGCATTGGCAGGCAGATTCTTAACCACTGCGCTGCCAGGGAAGTCCCAAGAATTTCCACTTTTTTTCAATGGCTATATCATAGTGTCTTTAAACCAATCCTTTTTAGATGGACATTAGGGTTTTTTCTAATCTTTGCAGTTCCAAACAATTCTGCATTGAATAACGTATATATGTCACAATGCACAAGTAAGTATGTCCTTATTGTGTCTCAGAAATAAGTTTACTGTTCAGTAATGTGAAGGTCATCCAGTATATTTTGGAATGTGTAATGGAAACAAATTATTTGGAAATGATTTCATTAAATTTTTGCTTGAGATTAGAAAAACATTTGAAAATCGGTTCCAATAATGTTCTTTTATTATCAATTATGTAGGAGATGTTGGAAGCTCTCAAGGCACTCTCAACCTTTTTTGTTGAAAATAGTTTGCGCACTCGAAGAAATTTACGTGGAGATATTGAACGCAGAAGTTTAGCCATCAATGAAGAGTTTGTAAGCATTTTCAAGGAAGTGAAGGAAGTATGTAAACTTTTCACTTACCATTTATTGAGAGCTTACTATATGCCTGGCTCTGTGCTGAGGTTCTCTATGGATAGAGTTGATATGTTTGCAACTTGTGTACTGTACTCAAATAGAAATTTAGCTACTTACTCCAGCAGCTTCTAGGTCTTTCTTTGGATTAGTGTGATTTCTAAATCTCTAACCTCCACTAGTGCTGCTTTTTGGAAAGTTGTAACATATGTTCCAGGATATTCCTTTAGGAATCTTAGCTTTTGAAACAAACAAACAAACAAACAAAAAATAACACGTCTCTGAGTGGTTTTCCAGTAGAAATAGTCCCTCACTGAATAAACCTCCCTTAGATAACTGCTTCTCCACTGGAGAGTAATTAGGATTGAGTTACTTTACTGCCTCCTAAATTATGAAATTTTCAGATTAATGAGGATCAATGACTTCACTTAATAAATAATGTTTCATTACACTGGAGTGAGCAGTCTACTCACCATAGGGTGAAAATGAATTTTATTTATTATGTTATATTTTATTTATGTATTATATAATACTTTATTAATTATGTTAATATTACTGAGTGATACTACATAGTTAATAGTTCTGTGTGAGTTGTATGGACGTGTCATACATGGTTCTAGTGAGACAGATTATTTTTAACGGTGTAGTAGGATTTCATTGGCTGAAGGCTAATAATCTGGAAGATTAAAAGGGAAGTTTGGTAGTGTTCATAAAAATAGGGAGAGATCGTAGTGATGAGCACATCTAAACTGTACTCTCTAAACGCCATTTCCCTCTGGACGGAAGCACCAAAGTGAGGAAGCTGTATAAGACTACTGGGAAGTGTCAGAAGGACTCTGGAGCTAACTTAGGTTTCCACTGGCCAAATATAGGATGATTTGAGCATCAGTAAGAATGACTGCAGTGGACTGAAACACATCAAGCATATTTAAATCCATGAGTTCCTAATGATACTAAAACCCAACAGAACCCTCATCCACCATCTTAGGTGGATATGAGGGAACCAACTTACCGTTTTGAAAACTACTAAATAAAAGGAAAGAGTCAAGCATTTATCCTGTCTTTGGTACCAACTATATACAATTGTTGAGGCAAAGCTTCCCTTTATAGTAATATTCTACTTACTAAATGAAGAAATGATAGAAGATTTTGTAACCACTGTTTAAAGGATCTAGCTCAGGGTTTCTTAGTCTTGGCACTATTGACATTTTGGGCCAGATAGTTGTTGAGGGTTGTCTTCTGCTTTGTAGGATGTTTGGCAGCATCCCTGGCCTCTATCCACTATATACCAGGAGCACCACCTTTCCTCAAGTTGTTCCAACCAAAAATGTTTCCCAACATTGCCAGATGCCCCCTTGGGGGACGAATTTGCCCAAGTTGAAACCACTGATCATCAGTAGCTGCTTATCTCACAAAAAGAAACAGTCATATATGTGACTCCTAACAAAGGTATACAACATCACCTATGACGAATTCTTGCAAGAAAATTGGACCAGAATATAATCAAGCTTCCAGATCTAACTGCAAGTTTATAGGAAATACTGGGGACAGAGGAGTATGTTAACAGCATGAAGAAGCAATCAGCAAGTCTGGTGTGCTGGGAACTGTGCAGGCAAATGAACGGGTTTCTTCAACAAATAAAGTGTAAGAGAAAGACAATTTATTTAAATAGAGGAAATATCAATCAGTTGATGTTTGTGACTCTCATTTGGTTCCTGAGTCGAACAAATTATTAAAAAAACTGAAACAACTGGGCAAATTTGAACACTGAATAGAAATTTGATATTAAGGGATTATTGTTGAATGTTTAGATGGGTAAATGGCATTTTTTTTTGAGTTCTCTTAGAAGTGCATACTGATATGTTTATGGATGAAATGATATGCTATCTGGAATTCAAAATAATTCAGCTTGGGGAGGGAGAAAGTGGATGGGAAGAGAGTTAGAAAGTGAGTACAGAGATAGATTAAACAAGAGTGGTCATGAGTTGCTAATTGTTAAAGCCGTGTGATGTGTACATAGGCATTCACATTATCTCAACTTTTAGGTAATTTTGAAATTTTTCCATAATAAAAGATTTCTTTAAAGGTTATACTGCAATTGTATTTAACAACCTGTAATTTTATTTAATCGGGAATAAAAGGCAGTTTGAGTTCAAATGAAGACTTTACATACAAGCAATGTAAAGGTTCTTGAATTACAATTTAGCAAATCTCTGCATTTAAGTCATATATTAAGAGATGTAATTTCTATTATTTTACAAATCAGTTTCATTCAGTGTACTACAGTAGCTAAAGTAAATATTAGGAGAAGTTATTCTTGACCTTGTTGGCTGATAATGTCGTAGTGCTAGTCTTATACAGTGAGATTTAAGGAAATAGATTAATTTGCCTATTAGTTAGTACCTGTTTGCTATTGCTGACAATTGCTATTTTGAAATCATTCTTTTATTGTTTAAAGCAGTTTAGCACTTAAATAATTTGATTTACATCCTATTAATGGTAAGATACAGAGAGTAACATTTGAAAATGTCTGGTGCTATGATTTTTATAATTCAAAGTACTTTATATAGAGAAAGGAAAAAATTTAATTCTGGAAGTAGGATGTATGCTCATATTCTTGTAAATGATTTCCTAACTCTGGTTCATCCTTACATTTTATTCGTAGTCCTGCTTGGTTGCTTTCTTATCTCTTGCCCTGTGATTGGCCCATCCCTTCATAAAACTGTCATGTTTTTATTTGAAGGTTTGGGTATTGTGTTGAAAGAGATCATAGTAAGACCCTGTCTACCACTGAAACTTTCTTTCCTTGCATATCTTTCTGTTGTGTTACACTGAATTGAATTGGGAAAAAGAAGATAATAGTGCAGTATGAAGTTAAATATAATTCTGTGATATCATTTTTTCATATTAAGAGATTGGTTCAGTAAAGATTGTAGAGAATGATTTAGTAAAGAGTTTGGAGACTGGGAGGCCTGTTGGAAGACCGTTTTTTGTCAGTCCATACAGGAGAAAGCAATTGAACTGAACTCAAGTAGTAGCTGTTTGGGTTGTAAAAAAAGAAATGGATAAGATGTACATAATAAGGGCTATAAATGGTAGACCTTAGTGACCAGTTAAATTCTTGCATATGTGGAGGGGGCTGGAGGTGGGAGTATATAGGGA